TTTAGAAGTTTTAGAAGTTTTAGAAGTGATGGTAAACCATTTACTTAAACAGAATGCAGATCAAAGGAAAGAAATCGAAACGTTAGAAGCAGCGTCAGCGAATACCGCGAATCCGGTTCAGGCAGACTTAGTAACACGCTTAGAAGTTGCAGACGCGGCGGCGAAATTGTTACTGAAGCAGAATGAATATCAGAGAAAAGAAATCGCAACGTTAAAAGCAACGTCAGTAAATACCACGAATCCGGCTCAGGCAGACTTAGTAACACGCTTAGAAGTTGCAGACACGGCGGTGAAACTGTTACTGAGACAGAATGAATATCAGAGAAAAGAAATCGCAACGTTAAAAGCAACGTCAGCAAATACGGCGAGTGTTAACAAAGGTGTCCGATATCGCGACAGTAATAACAGCCATCATAGTCGAGGATCGCCTACGAGTTCCACGCAGGAACAAATCCCTCATAAATTTCCACCTTTGCAGAGTCAGAGTTACTGGTACCGCAGAATACTTAGGTAACATATGAAGTACTTATCCTTGTCGTCCAATAATTTCATTTCAATCTCTTGAACCGCAGAAATGGACGAAATCGGCACGACAAACAAGATCATCAGACAGAAGTGGACTCCACTGTATTACCACAACTTCAAAACGATAAAATTGAGAAAATCAACCGAAAATATGGCTTAAAAGATCGCAGGAACGGCGATAATAACCATCATAATCATCATCATAATCATCATCATCATCGACGAGATTATAAGGATAGAAATTCTAAAGATCACCAAAAAGAAATCGTAGATTCAGCGGAAGGATCGAGAGAAGCCGACAATTCGGCGGGTAATAAATCGTAAAATCGAAATGGTCTGCCAAAATATTACACGCGTAGCAGACTTTTTGTCCTCTATTTAAATACAGGCGACTGTAAGGATCATTTCAATAGCGATATATTTGTTAATAAAAGAATAATCTACTTTTTCTTGTATCCGCTTAAAAAAAAAAAGAAAGTGGAAAAACAATTAATGTTGATTACGTACATGCTGCTTGCCATAGGATAGCCACGATACTCAATTGAGATTATACAATCTTTAATGTGAAAATCTAGTCCAATTTTACTCATTGTAGACTACCAACGTAAAAGGTAGAATATTTGTGCTTTATGAATCAGTGATAATTAGTAGATACAATTACTTATGGTGTCACGAATTAAAGCAAAAAAAATGTGCGATTGTTTCATTTTTACTGGACGAAACAATAGCATACTTCTTTTTTAAGGTAAAGTCGATGATAATGATGGTATTGATGGCGTTGATAACAATAAACGAAATACGACCAATATTTATATGATATTAGTTTCTCAGGCTTAAAGTGACCAAAGCTTAAGCTTAATATATGTGAGATACTTCAGTACAAGGTGAGCGTGTATTAAAATTTTATTTACAGAGTACTAAATATTTTTTATTGTTGTAGTATTTGTGTAAGTTTATTGCAGATCAAATTAGCATACCATTAAGTCTTTAAGCTGCTGTCGATGTTACAACCGAATATTTTAATTGGTTTAAGCATCTACATGGTATATATGTATACTATATACAGTATATATATTTTAATTAGTAACGACGTGCGAAGAAAGAAAGATTGTTTCTAATGTGTTGCTTTTATAATGGGTTTATTCGTTGTAATTGTGAAAAAATCATTAAATTAAATATCTTTTTCTCTCTGGCTCCTTTCTCTTTCTTTGTTTTATACGCCCCGTATCCCAAGGACAAGTAACACTCGTATGTATTACAGATATTTTGTGTTATAACGATAATGTATGCAATTTATGTATTTGTATTTGAAATCGTAAGTGATCACAAAATTATTCGGAGCTGTTCTCAGGTTGTGTGTATATGCCCAACACACAAGTTGTTTCTGCGTTGAGAGACAATAAAATACAATGCTATACTTTATCT